GGACGATGGAACTTGCAGGTTAACTTACGATCTCATGTTACAAAGTACATAGGTATGTTCGTGTGTCGACAACTTTTATGGAGAGCATTGCCAGTATGAACGTAAACTATTCATAATTGATATTAATATGACTGAAGTCTCATTTGTATCAGTGATACAATTCTTTGGCATTTTCAAGAAGTTAATGCGCTTATTCATACAGAAACAAAGAGCGATGAAAATTCTACCTCACATGATAACGTATCCGATTGACAGACGTATGTCTGCTTTGGGTATTTTGAAGATCTATGATAATCGAGTATTACCACGATATTTTCTTCTGTACGCACATTTTCGAGCCCAGTTCATTCGAAAGACCATAAGAGTAACACCAATCGAGTGTCGACATGTTTCAACAATCCTACTACTCGGTAAAATATTTTGTATACTTTCTGCTTTGTAACGAACTTGTTGCAAAAAAAATTTCATAGTTTGAGTCACACTTTTTCATGATGGATTCTTTTGATTTATTTAGATCAAACCAATATACCAGCTGTATTTCACTATCACTCAATATGTCATCAACGGAAGTAACCCTTCTGTTTCTATGATACAAATTTTCTATGTTTGTGTCCGAAAGATAATAGTCATGCCGAATGTTTTGGTTATGATCATGGCATCAATCGATGTGATTTTTGTCTATCAACAGGAACATGTGTTCGTGGAGATCTAAAACTTGAACATGATTATGTCTGTATTTGTCCTGAGTGTTATGAGGGCGATCGATGTGAATTCGATCGACATGCGTTTGGTTCAACAGTCGATTCTCTATTTACATCGGAATCTATCAATGTTCGAATCATTTATTTGTGCCTAACTTCAATACTACTATTGGTGGGACTATTCAATAACTTATGCTGTGTTGCTACTTTCAAACAAACTCAATCACGTCAGAATAGTGTCGGTATTTATCTTCTCGTGATCACATGTCTCAACATATGGCCTCTAGTATCTCTAATCATGAAAATGATTTCTACTGTCATTGATTCTCTCGATGATCATGTCACAACATTGAATATTCTGGCATGCAAAGTCATTTCATACTCGTTGTCTGTATCAACACGAGCGAACTACTAGTTGATTAGTTTAGTTACTCTCAATCGATTATTCCTTGTCATATTTCCAAGTACAACGATTCTGAAAAAACCATCTGTTGCTGTTATTTGCAGTATTCTGATTTGTTCTCTACATGTTGTTATGCATATCCACGAAATTCTCTAGTACGCAGTAGTTTCAAACATGAATTCGAGACTATGCCTCGCAAATTTCCAGCATGATCTTGTATTCAAATACAATCGTATTGGGCTCTTTTTTCATTATCTTTTGCCTTGTATCATTCAATTTCTGGCTATAAAAACCCTGTTTCTGCTGATTGCACGTAGTCGCAGCAAAACGAATCATACACAAACAATATTTCAAGTGTTCAAGAAAAACATCATCGATCAAAAAGAATTCTACGTTGTACCAGCGATCATTTTATTGAGTGCTCTGCCTCATATTACTCTCTCATTTGTTGTTAATTGCATCAAATTGAACAGATGGCAACGACATAGCTTATTGGTTTCATTTCTCTTGCCATACACGACTCAAATATATTCTTTTATCATATTTGTTCTACCGTCAACAGTATACAAGCATGATTTCTCGAAGACTTGGTTCGGTCGTCAGCCATTTTTGAAACACATTTCAAAGCTTGAAAATTATAGTCAAGCTCCTGCAAATACTACTCGATCCAACGTAACCAATAAGCTGGCTACATCAGGCAAATCGGATCTCCATGAATGACCGGCTCTCATTTCTCGATTTTGATACATTGACAATCTCACACAATCGCTTTTTGTGTAAGCATATGCTATTCATCACTTTCATAGCTGCTGATATCTTTCGAAGAGAATCAATAGCATCGCATTTACTTTATCAAAGAAAATTTTAGTAGTGTCATACTTGAAAGTTGAAGTCAAGCTTTCAAACATTTAAAATATCATGATTACTATCACGCTCAGGTCCTCACTCTCACCTCGCACCCTCATGTATTTCTACTTGTGTTACAGTGATCCGATTTAGGCTGAATGCAAGAGAGACTAGTGGATGATTTTTGCAATCTATTGAATAGCTAATGCTTTCCAAAATACTAGAACGACCTCTCCTTGAAATGAAGAGGCATAATTATATTTTACTTGGTGTGGGTGTGGGGGGAGGGTGTGGATGTGTGGGTGTGGGTGTGGATGTAGATATCATTAGAGAACTAATCCATACCCATACCCTACACCCACACCCCATCCACACTCTTTTTTGACGATATTTATCTTTGTTAATTTGTTTTGTTTACTCTTTATTTGAAGTGAATATGAATACAACCGAAATTGTTCATACAAAAGATAATGATTCGAAATTGAATTAGTACAAGACAATTTTTTTCCTCAACGTTTCTTTTTTTGTCAGCAGACTAAGTCAAAAAAAAAGTGAGTTTATGATCATCTCTTATAGATATTAATTAACAATAATAAAGAGTATAAGTTGTTTACTTTGATCGTCAATAATATGTGAAATATTAACTGAAAAATTATTTTCGAATGCTTAAAAAAACAAATAGTTTATAATTTATATATTATGACAAATATTTTAATCATAAAAAAGTGCTTATCTATATAATATTATCTTTATATTAATTCACGTCAACTATTTAATCTAATTAAAAACAATCAAAATAAATGACAATATTTATTGTATTTAATTAAAAAATCTTTAAATTAAGATCAAATAGAATTTGTTTATTAATTAAGGCGCCTAACGTTGAGTTTTTCTTTGATAAAATACTTGAATATATAAATAATGAATAGAGAATCTCTATTATTAATCATAGATCGATGGAAAACTCAAGCCTATGAATTATATAATCAATTAGAAAAAACTAAAAATGATTATTATAATGATTATAATTATCTTAGCCAAAAATTAAATCAATATCAGTATGAAATAAATTCAATAAAAAATAAAAATTATTCTTCTATAAAAAAAAATGAAAATTTATTAGAACAAATTTTAATTAATGTTGATCAATCATCTATCTCAAATAAAATTCTTGTTTTATCTCAGTTTTTTGTTGATTCTCTTAAAACATTATTATTATCAACAAATATTGAAGAAAAACAAAAATCAAATATTATATATTATACAATCATTGAAAATATTGAAACAAATATAAAACAAATAGGAAATATTATTTATAAAATGAATGAAGATTGTTCAAATCAATTAATTCATAATAAAAATACTTAAATTACAAATGAACAAAAAAAACAACACAAGTTTTATATCGTTTTATGTTCAATTGGACTATGTCCGCAAATACATTTGTTCGAACTTCGATCAACTTGATCATATTGTTCACAACGACAATTAAGACAATAACTATAATAAGGTACAACACGACGATGAGATCGATGATGTTGATTATGATGATTATGATGATTATGATGGTGATGATGATGACGATGATGATTATCTCTTATATATATATCATCATCATCATCATAAGGTTGATCACATCCAAAAATACAACCCATATTTTACTCTTTTATATATATAAATAAATCTTGATAAAAATGATTTGTTCGAGACCACCTACTAACATTCAATTATTGACAAAAATCAAGTTTCTTTTTTCTTTCTTCAACTAAATAATTCAAATCAATAAGAAAAAAAAATATTTTTCTTCTCTCTTGCCTTAGTGATCTGAACTTATTCTTTAGGCTTTCAGCACAATATTCTTTGAAATACATTTTTTAAAATAATCAATCGTTATTTATTATTGCAGTTGTTTATTTGGAAGAATATATCAAATTTTTTAGTTAATTTTATACAGGTGACTATTTTAATACTATCCTTATTAAAAATATAAAATAATTAAAAGACAATTCATAGTATGCTCTTGTCTCTTGTCACTGCTGCTCGAATTAAGATATGAAAAATAATGTGCTTTTCATTGGAAACATATTCTTTGGTAGTTTTATTCATAATGGAAGTTTCGAAAAGCAAGATAATATAATGTACACAATGACTTTGTATAAAATTTTTAACGTTTTCCTATCTGATTTGAATAACTAACTCTGATTAACTTTTTGTTACAAAATGACAATCAATTATTCAAAATCTATACTCAGATAATTCATCATTGGAGTTTTTCTTTTATCTACATACTAGAAACAGAATGATGAATAGACTATGACGAAATGACAATAAACAGAAATGAAACGTAATGTTTTGTGTCATATTTGAATAGACATTACTTATTTTCTTTGTTTTATGATATTGTTTATGCTAATAAAAAGAATTCTTGTTCCATTCATAGAATGAAGACTTATCTTATTTAATACTTGTGAAACATTTTAAGAAATAGTTGGAAAGAATGAAAATTGATTTATTTTAGGAAAATAGTCTAGTAGAAAAAGAGTAGATAATAATAATTGAATGTTCTTTCACGGCCAATCTGAATTTTTGAAATCTAAAGAGATTGTCAACATATTTAAATGAGTAAAATGAGATTGATTTTCTTTTACAGACTATGAAAGATTAACACATGTCGTTTGTTTTTAAAAATCGCTCGAAACTATACAGAATAACTATACAATCAGTTTATTTTTATGAAACATTTTTCGAGCATTATTTTTGTTCGATGCTTTCCATAATTGCATCCTATAAAGCAATTGATAGTCAAAAGCTAAATATTACTCACCTACTGCCAAACTTGAAAAAAGTATCGGTTTTTATACGTTTTTCGACACGCACAAGGTTTGATAATATAGTACAAATAAAAAACAAAAACAATTTCTAAAGTTAATTAGTATAAAATTTTGCTTGAATATTGGGATAAAGTCCTATGATAAGTGTCTGAAAAGAATTGTCCTTTTGTTTATTTAGACAGTAGGTATGTATCCATGCTTAAGAAAGCCTATTTTCCATCAATAGCTGAAATAGTGTTGAATAAGGTTTTGATCAATAGGTGGACAACATTTAAGTATAGTGGTGTGACGACTAGTTTTTTCCATTCTAAATTTTGCAAATTTCATTTGATTGCCTTCAGCAAAGATTTTTTCAAAGAAACTAGCTAGAGTATAGGCTGGATTCTTCGGATTAGCGAGTAGCATACGCAACCATTCTTTAATCGAAACAACTTTAAATTGAAGTCCAGATAATTTTAAATGTTCAAGTAGTTCGAACCAGCTAATCACATGGGGATTGAGAATATGATGTACATGTTCGAAGGGTGTTGTCAATTCTGCAGTTGTATCGATAGCAATATCAACCACACATGCTGCACCATAATTAACAAGAATCCAGTTTATTTTTTGACATTGATCGGGTAATACACTCATTTCTCCACCACCTGCACATATCATTAACGGTATCATTTCAGTAGTATTCTATGCACCTGTCTCACTATCACCACAAATCTGTCCAAATCGATAAATATCAACGGGTACATCTAAAATAAAAATAGGCAAAAAGTCTTGTTTAAAAATAGAAATTATCAATTGGAGATAGATGCATCATATTAAACGTCTTTTACTAAATCGAAAGAGAAAGTAAAGTGTTGTAAGATATAATAGTGACTCACTCCATAAATGCATAGCTGCCCAACATATATGTTCAGCAGCATACTTTTGATTGTCCATAATCATGTGCAAGAGCTATATCTACTCGTCGTGGTAATGGTTCTTCTTTAATTTCTTTAAATAAATTAGAGCTAGCAGAGCTAATGCTTGAAATAAAATGAAAACGGATTGGGAATTTCTTTGTCGAGCTAGATGCAAATTCAAGCAATCGATATAGACTTTGCAAACACTCTCGATCAAAATCTTTAATAGTCATATTGAAATCCATTTTTCAGGCTGAGTGAATTATGTCAGTGACTTCATTCTGTAACTGATTGTAGATGACTTGAATTTGACCGAATCTATCGTGATTAAGATCCATTTGTAAGATAATTATACGCTTATTGTCGAGTAGTAATGTTGAACTTTGTTCTCGTATTTTTATGGTACGTCGCATGCGATCACAAGCATCTAGACCACGCACGAAGCAATAAACTCGACTAACTTGTGGTTTGTGTAATAATTGCAATAGTATTTGACTGCCAAGCGAACCATTTGCACCTGTGATTAAGAAGATTCGTTGATTTTCTATATTATTATCACAGTCGCTAGAGTATTTTTTCGAGACTGTCATTCTTTGATTATTATGCGATTTGATCAAATTAATGTATTTGTCAATGATGTCTTCGATTTCTTTGTAATGTTTAGTATCGGTTATTGCTTGAACTAATTGCTCTTTCTTTGCGATACGCAATAATTGATCAACTAGAGCATCAATCGATGAAAATTCATGAATTATATCATGATCAAGTTGACCAAATTTGTCACAAAGAATATTTCATAGTTCGATAGCAGTAAGAGAATCAAGTGAGAGTGAATGGAGAGATTTCAAATGATCAGAAAAGATCTCAACCAGTTTATTGAGAATTTGGGCTACTGTTTGTTGAAGATAGATACAAATATTGGTTTTGGTCAATAAGTAATTTTTTGAAAGTACTTGAGAATTATTGTTATTTTGTGATTTATTAAGAAATCGATCATACATTTGATCGATGATGGAACCGTATTCTTGATCAACTAATTTTCGAATAATATTACCCTTTCCAGTTATAGGCAAATGTTTATTCATCGGAGGAATTTTGATCAAAGGAGGAATAATGCGTGAATGTGTTGGTGCATTTTTATTCCCAACTTGTACAGCAGTAAAAACATGCTCTTCAATTGAACGAAGTTCATGTTTCAATGCTTCTTCAATATTGAGTTCAATAAGAGCTGAACAATAGGAACGTTGATGACCAAGAACAACAGCACGCTTTATAATTGAATGTTCTTGAAAAGCAAGTTTTATCGGTAATGCATTTGTTTTTTCTCCAGTTGTATATGTACAAGAATATCATCTTTATGACCTTGAATCATGCAGTAACCAGATCCTGGTGATTCTTCCAAAAATAAATCACCGGGAGAATATGGACCGTTTTTAGCGTAATCGGGTGCAATAAATGGATCAGTTGTAAAGATAAAAGCTTCGTAAATATTCGAATTGCTTTCTGTTGGCAAGAATTTAACGCTTGATTGTCGACTTTTGACTGGTCGAATACTCTGACACCGATTTTTGTTAGTTGTTTCATAATTACTGATGCCAACATATTCTATTTCTATCCAATAAAAACTCTAGTCAATATTATTATTCATGTTTGTGTGATGATAAGAATAAGTTCTAATGATTATTATCTGAAGAACAACAGAGACTACTTTTCAAAAGAATCTCAAATGACAGATGATTAATTTTAAAAATAATAGATAAGTAGCCAGTATATCACTCTTAACTACATTTTCAATAACCACCAATTATCAACGTCTTTCTTTTCTTAATAATTAGAAGTCACTTTATAGTTCATTTATTATGTACGTATATTAATTGATAGTTTATGAATCATAAACAAGTTGGCAATTTTCTTTTATTAAAAATACTGATGATTATTTTCTGTCATATTATCGATTTTGAATGATTCGACCTAAATCTGTTCGTAAAGAGCAATTGCAATAAGAAAGAAAAAATTGAAGAAGTTTTCTATCAATTGATTTTGAATGTATAACAAGCACAGTTGACCTATCAACGATACAATGTTTTATAAGTTCTAATCTGACGAGAGTCCTCAATTTGACTGACCTGTTGATCGGTATGTATTGATAATATTGATACCTCGTTCGAACAACTCATTGCAAATATCAGCCGAGCAGGAGGCATCACCATAAATCACGTATTTAAGACGAGCCATCGCCTGAAAACCCATGTTGTCATTTTGATGTAACCATTCGATGATCTCTTCAAGCAATAGACTAACAATCATCAATTTAGTAATTTTCGGATACTGTAAACTAGCTAATATTTCTTTAGGTGATGATGGAAAAGATGTTGTTAATGGCAATGCATATACTCCTTCAACGTGCCACATTATGATTGAAATCGACATACCCATGAAGTGAAATCAAAAATAGATAAAATAAATAATCGATCATAATTTTTCAATGAATAAATTATTCTCAATCGTAGCTTTTCCTACAAATCATCTTTGGTCTATGTTACACCACTTAGATATAATCACATTGAACTTTTCAAGGATCACTCGATTATCATATTAATGTCTAACTCATAAAATTTTCAATCATAGAAAAAACAATCTATTCATTTCGTTTTATCATCTCAGCATAGCTAAGTATCGATTAACATCACATATTTGGAATTTATCTTTTTCTTTTTCTAAAAAAAAACTTCTTATAATGTTTAAATAATACGGCTTTCAAATTTTAAAATGGACTCTTTTCATCATGATGGACTTGTAGTATTCTACAACTACTTATTATCGAATAAAAAACCTTATAGAGTTCATTTTTCAATATTTATCAATTAGAATTTTAAATTGATTCGAGCTAAAATAGTGTTTATCCAGCGAATTTGATTACGAAAGTATTCTATTGAATTGAAATAAAATCTAATAGTGATTTGATTAATATTTGACTCACAATGGTAGCACACTTAAGACTGCGTCATCATCCATCCAAAACCGATTATTCATTTCTAATGCAAAGCTCTCAATCCAACCACATATACATCGAATAGTCAAACGTATTGGTTTCGGAAATGACGTACTTCCAGAACTAAAATAGCAAAATAAACATGCTACTACATAAATTTGTCGAATTTTTCTATGATTTTAATGTATACCTGTGAAAAATGATATAAAATTTATCAAGATCATCTTTGCCAGATATGGGCTTAAATGTGGATTCTCCAAGATTGACAAGTTTATCGATGTCAATTTGTTTCAATTGGTGTAATTCAATATCTGAGCCAAATTTCATATTAACTTTCGTGACTACCGATGAATAATCTGTAGATTAGAATAGATAAGACGCATTTAACTTTTCCAGTAAATGAATAATGTTTATAGGTAAGTTTAGCATATATTTGTGGATCAACTTGATTTGGATATAAGAGATATATTTCATTTGATCGTGTTGCCGCCTGTTTATTGAGCATATCAATTATTGATGAATAACGAAAACTATTATTAGTTATCACTCTAATAGGAAATGAGCGCGATCTACAATGATAACATTCACTTTTCAATATCAAAGAAATATTGACTAACTGTAGCGATATCCTTATATCCTTACTTCCTCATTATTTTTCTTCCTGTTATTCATATCTTCTTCTTCTTTTCTATTTGTACTTTCCTCTCTTCTGATTTCATGGATAAACGCGTGCTTTGTATGTAAATGATGCGATTCTTGATAAGGAGAAATATAATAAAGCATAATTCCATCAGCGCTAACAATTCTTCTATCTAAAAATAGTCACACTAACACTTCTAGCTTCTATTTATTCAAATCACTAATTTCATATCTTTGATCTTCATAATATTGATACTGATTAAACTCGTCTTAAATTCGACATATCGCAAGATAGTATACGGTTATGTCACGATTTCAGACAAGACTTAAGCAACGACTACTTAATCTATCAAATTGAATATTTTCAGCAATCCTAATATTAAAAAAAAGGTCAAATGAAAATGTCGATTCTTTTCGATAAGCCATAGATATTATCATGTACGCATTGTGAAAACGATGCTTCTTTCGAATATCAAATCTTTCAATAAAGATCAAATTGATCTGAGTAAGTTCGATTGAATCAATCTCATCTAAAAGAATCGATATACCGTTTATTGATCAACATGAAATCTGTTCTTGTACCGATTCAAACTCTGATATAATCAACTTCTCAAGACATGGTTGAGCAAAGGAGAAAAACTGATTATGTATAATAAAGATAGCGTCATGCCATCAACATCTATAGAAGTTGTTAATAAGTTTAATGAGTTAAGGTAGGAAATTAAATATGATAGAATAGCGACCAACTGCTCTAAAGTCTTTATCAGTATAGAATTGGATCAGCCAATTACCGGTACTGACTTCATCTTTTCCGTTCAGACTACGTCATATTTGTTCGAAACTGAATTTAGACGACAAAAGAGTCATTGACAAAGGTTTCTCGACTACGAATCTTTCTTCATCGAAATGTAGCTTGTAGCAACATGCACTAAAACATTGTTTTTACAATACATTAAGTGTTACTGTATTTCAGTTAGCAAATAATAATCTTAGGATGACGAATGCAGCTCAATGAATCAAATTAATTAGTTTTATCTATCTGAGGAATGAACTTGATATGATCATTCTCGTTGACATTCATTGGCGAAAAATACACGCTGTAATTGACTGTATATACCATATCAAAAACAAATATCTAGATAGAAGCAATATATACATATCACGTATCATTAAATGTCATAAAACAACGATATCTCTTATATAATTTTACTTTTTTTTGTAATCACTTACAACAGAACAGTATAAAACCATAATTTTTTTTTACTGCATTGTTTATAGCCGATTAAGATGGTTTCAGTGACATTTTTTGAGATCATTTCAACAGTCTTCGATGCTTTTAGAATCAATCTAGTTAATCTAGGAGAGATACTCAAATAAAGATTTCACTTACCGACCTTCAAACTTACTCAAATTAATCTATTTTCTAGAGACAAATCTTTTATGAATATATAGATCGATTCAAATTGAAAATTATCAAATTTTCGATTTCTTTTGTATTTGTATAAAAAAAAGTGGAAAACATGAGGATTCTTTATAGAGTAATTATTCATATAAACATGATAGAAAATGAAAGATCGATAATTTTCGATTAGTCTTGGTAAAAAAAACCTTATATATAAACGGATTTTGTTACCCTCGATTTAAAAGAGTTTCGTTTATGAGATTTATAAATGTCGTTTTACGATTATGTATAATCATTGTCTTTTATCTTAATTGCTAAATATATTATTATTATTCACAATAAAATATACTGATACATATATCATTTCTAGGTTTGCTAGAATAACATTTAGCTGTATCAAATATTATTTTGTTTCGTGTATCGGTCTGATTTGTATCCTCAATAATTTGTTCAGACAAAATTGAATATGTTAGTGATAACGAGACTAGTGAAAATAGAAGAAGGAGACAAAACTATTTTTTATTTAGGCTCACTGCAAATACAAACTCTAGTGTGATTAGTAATGATAAATGTGATGTATCAATCGCGACTAAAGCTTATGCAGTTTATGAGCCATCGGATTCATTCAAATTATTTGAATTTGAAAGACATATATCAAAATCGACCGATGTTTTAATTCGAATTTATTATTGTGGCATATGTCATACGGACATTCATATGGCACTTAACCAATGGGGTTATTCGAAATATCCAATAGTACCAGGACATGAAATCACAGGTGTTGTTGAACAAATCGGTGACAATGTAAAGAAATTTCAAGTTGGCGATCATGTTGGTGTTGGATATATGATTAATTCATGTCGTACTTGTCATCTATGTGAGACTTGTTTTTAGTTTGATATTGAAAAATATTTTTTCTTTCAATCTAGGTAAAAGAGATCTCGAACAATACTGTACTAATAAGTGCAACACATCTAACGGTACACAAATAGGTCAAGTGACACCGACATATGGAGGTAAAAGTTATTGTTTATATACTAAATTGTCTCGGATCACTGACAGATAGAATATAAATAAGTAACAGTGATGAATGAGTCTAAAGTATCGACAACAAAAATAGACACAATTAAATAGAAAATCAATTCGAACATGAAACAATGTGAGAGTAATTGTAATGAAAACCACTGGATCTTGTACAACTTGAATCTATAAATATTCAACAATTTTCTCAAACATATTGTCGGAAATATGAAAAGAAGAACGTTAACTTCGATTAAAAATTATATTAAACAAAAAAGCAATAGTCTCTAACCATATATGATATTAACTAAAATAACACATCTAACATATCAATAATTAATTGTAAATTTAATTTATTTCATACATTTTTGAGATATTTTCAATATCCAATTCTGTGAACCATTGAAATTCTTGAGATTGTTGAAATGACTCTATACTTTCAAACTTGAGATTTACATTCAACTTTCAATTTTCAATTTCGATTAATCAGGTTTCAACCTATAAGTTTTATTATTTCGATCTATATTCCTAGAGAGCAATCCCTATTGGCTCGTTATTTGAAGTTAATCTCATACAATTCGAATCTTCATAAATATTTGAACTCGACTTTCAAGTTAGATGTATATATATATAAGATTCGAACGATTTCAGGAATTTTAAACATTGTAGACTTTTCAATATGTTGAAGAATTCTCGAGATTTACCTATTTAATTGATAGTTTTTGTGTAAATTATTCGGATTCTCGAAATTCACAAGATTTAGCCTTTTTTTCTGAATGATTTTAATCGACAACTGCAAATAAAAATAATCGAATATGAACCAATAATAGAAGACAATTTACAATATATCAGAGAAACAGCTATAAAGAAGACATTGAAAAAGTTGAATTATATCGAAATAAAATAGTAGAAAACGGAAGATAATATTCTTTGGTTAATAGTAGACAGTATTATTATAAAACTAAATGTAAAACAATTAACATAGCTATTATCTTGATATTATTTCATAGATGTTCTTAAACATGCTTGATTTTATTGTTTCACAAAGAAAACAAACTCATTTGATGAAACTCAAATATTCTAAGAATAATAATTCGAATTGATTATTTATTTGATATTCTCTTTTCAAAGCCTCACATAAAAGAAATGAAGATACATTCGAAATTTGATTCTGTTACATTCAATTTAAAGAAACTGTTATTCATTTATGCGTTTTTCATATTTAACAGGTTATTCAAATTTCATCGTAGTTGATGAACATTTTGTAAGCAAAATTCCTAAAAATTTGCCATTGGATAGTGCTGCACCATTATTGTGTGCTGGTATTAGTACTTATTCATCATTACGATATTATAATGTTGGCAAAAACACACGCCTTGGGTAAATATATAAATATGTCATCTTTATTTACGATTCATTTTGTTTATTGTCATATAATAATAATAGAATAATTGGTCTTGGTGGTCTTGGTCATATAGCAATAAAATTAGGCTCAGCGATGGGAGCATATGTCATTGTTATATCATCATCAGAATCGAAACGTAATGATGCATTAAAACTCGGGGCTAATGAATTTATTGTTTCCAAAGATGAAAAACAAATGAAGCAAATAAAAAATTCATTAGATTTAATTCTTGATACAGTATCAGCACCACATGATGTTGCTTCTCTAATTGATCTACTCAGATTCGAAGGTGTTTATACCATGTATGTATATTTAATTTTATCTCTCTGTCACGATTATATGAATATTCATCAACATTCATATCTATTTTGACAGTCAGTTGAACGACATAAATTACATATTAATCAAAAATAAAAAGTTTTTATTTTGTAGACGAAAAAAAAAGGTATAGAACTCATTTTTCTCGCTTTTTCTCTTTCTACAAATTTATAAATTGTTCAGACATATATATACTAAGTTTACATATAGTCATAAAAGTTAAGGTAATTTGTCTTTATATCACTTTATTCTACAAGATGACGACTTTTATTTTCTGAATTTATATCTAATTCATATTATACTAATTATAGACAAAAACCTATGAGCATTAAGATATTTGACTGATATCGATGATCTAGTCTTTAAATTATTGATTATTTTTTTATTTTGTTATTGAAGAATTGGTGCACCATCAAAATCACTTGAAATTCCAACATTTCCATTGCTAATGAAACGACCGATTATATCTGGTAGTGCTGTTGGTGGAATGAAAGAAACACAAGAAATGTTAGATTTCTGTGGTCAACATCAAATAACATGTGATATTGAATTGATTAAAGCTACACCAGAAGCAATCAAAACAGCTTTTGATCGAGTTATTAAAGCTGATATTAAATATCGTTTTGTACTTGACATAATTAATGCATTCAAATAATCATTTCGTTCCAACATAACGTTCTATTTAGTTAGATTAAAGATTAAATTAAACATAAACATTTATCAAAGACTATCTATCAATTTCGGATGTGTGTGTGTGAGGTGTAACTGTAGTTATAGATGCTGTATATCTACATCTTAAGCTACTATGAATTGTGATAATAAACGTGGAGCCATATTGCTTTAACTACTACAAAGCAAATAAAATAATATGAAAATCACTAATAATTGATATTATCTACTTACTCAACGTTATCGGTATATTTACTCTTTACTAGTAGCTTGTTTTAGAACTATTTGAAGTTCTTTCTTTTTCAACAAGGCTAAAAAGCTATTCATAACATAACAAATATTACGACTAGTGAATAATACAATTCTTTTGTCAGATTTTTTTCGATACTTTTATTATAACTTTATTTTAGTATAGGATAAAGCATGCTAACATACACTTTGTTCGATGCACAATGATACGAATCTAAACTCTTATGGAGATACATTTCATCATATATGAATTTCAATACAGATCCGTTAGAATTAACTAACGGCAATGTATCAATATAATTGACAGAAAAATAGCGAACAAATTGTGAAAAAAACAAGTGACGAGGAAATATACTGTCTTTTAAGACATATTGAAAACGGTTCAGAATATCGTTGAGTGATAGTGTTAAGGATAGCTCTCATGGAATGTGAGGTAAGTACAAAACAGTGACTAATATTTAGATTTGCATCTCGTAGTGACATTCGTCTGTAACCAATGGTAAATTATTTGAATTCAAATTTATGTCATTAACATGTAATTAGGTATCAGAGAACTTTTCGTTTTCAAATGGTGAATAAGATAACGAAATAGCTTCATTTCAAGATTTCCTATAACTCGTTCGACCTTTTCCTGGTTTATTGTCACAAGATAATATCGAGCAATGAATACAAACTAGATCAAAGGTATCTTCTACTGTAGAATTGTTGTCGATATTAATTTGAAATGAGCACTGATATGCATTTAGTTTTTACATCTGATGATCAACAAAGATATAACTGCTGTAATTTCTATTATGTCTGCAGGTAAGAAAATAATGTACTTCAAAACAAAAAAGGGAGAATCTTCATCATAATTCATAAGAACTATTCGATGAAAAACTGAAAATTTATTTTGAATCAAACTGAATTCAAAAACAAAATTGTAACAAAAAAAAATATATATATATAGTGATGTAACTTTAGTATGAATTGCTTGTTCAACAAAATCTACATTAAAAAAAGCACCAATTTCAAAATAGAATAAAAGAAAAAATGTATTAAAGTCTTTATGTTTATGATATTGATTGATAACTTCAATAAAGTAATTATGTCAAGTAAAAGTAAAGATAAGTAGAATGATAGAAATAATTATTATTATAATTGATAGCCCTCCTCTGGAGAAGAAGCTTTCTCACGACAAGGTTCACAACGAAATAAACTTTGAATAGTAGGACCCAAATGAGTGACATGAAATCGAATTGTAGAACGATATTCAGATTTAGCGTATAGAAATAAAAAAGTAATGGCACGCAAAACGAATCCAATTAAAATTAGCCAAAAAAATGGATTTTCACTGTCGTTGAATGAGAAATTGTGTTCAAGAAACTTGACTTGAGTTAGCCATATATGAGTTGAAGTACTGTTATATACTTCAACATAATGTGCTGTTTCATGACGAAATAACACACGTTGCACATGTCGAGAAAAAGAAAGAGTAACAATAAATTTTCCTCGACCAAGATCAGTTTTAGTTGGACTGAAACCTGACAATAAACAAGATAGAAGAGCAACAATAGTACCAGCTAAATATGCATATTCAGTTCGATTGAATATTACTGATGTTAGTTGACCGATAGCCGAGCAAACAAATGAAAGAAGTATCATCATACTAAGATAATAAGAAAATGGACCACGTGGTACAACTTCAATATAAAGCATACTGAGAAATAATAATGGATAGAAAATCATTCGAAATATATCAACTAAGCTTTTTGCTAACCAATATTGAAATGGATGAAAATAATTTCGACTTTCTCGTTCATATGTCTTATTTGTTATTTCGACGCCAAATAGACGTTGACTTGATATACATGTTAAAATACCAAAGGAAAGACTCATGAGAAAGTAGATTGTTGGCAACACTTGTATATCACATGTACCTTGTTGTTTGTTTTCAAATAGATAACCGACACAGGCACCCAACAAAAAATAGGCAAGCATATAGGTTGCTTCAGCAATGGCACCACGTACATATATTTGCTTCATAGAACGAGACACGACATAGAGAAATGGCAAACACCATCTTTTCGTCCATGAATATGTTTTGAGTGGTTGACTAATTATTTGATTGTCTATTGAATGATTTTCAATATATTCTGGAGCTTTGGTTAACATAAGGAAGCATGTATCACAATCATTGTGTCGAACAGGAGGATGATCTTTAGTTGAATGATTGAAAATTTTTTCTGATAAAAATTCTTTTGCTTTATTTCGTGGACCTTGATAAGCCAAACAACAATGAGGAGTTAAAAAAAAGATATCATCTATTTGATGAAAAAGTTCTTGACTCGGTTGATGAATAACCATTATTATTGTTACTGGTCCAGCGGCACTATATTTTATTAATTGTAATAAATCAAATAGATGATCACAAGAAACTGTATCCAAGCCTGATGTTGGCTCATCTAGAAGTATTACCTTTGGACATGCAACAATTTCCATAGCAACATTGACGCGTTTTCTCTGTCCTAAATATATTAGAATTAGCTTGATTAATCACTAGAAATACTTTAAAAGATTCCAATTTCAACGAAGTTTCACGTCTTACATGAAATTTTTCTCAAAAATTGAATCATTTAGGATAATGGTATGATTACGAAAAACAATTCCTTGATAAGAAAAGATATGAATAATATCATTTGATTCTAAGCTAAAAATTTCGAAAGTAATTTATACTTCCTTATAGGTTCACATAAAAATTCTTTCACTATTTATTTTTCTATCCAAACAACAAACTAAACTTGATCAAATATTTTTATTAATCGAATATTGTTTATTCAATTGTAGTTATGTACTAAACCGATATGTCTGTGAGGATTTTTCTTATTTTCAATCTGATTCTTATAGAAAGTTAAGAAAGTTTCATCGATCAAAAGAGATGCTGATATTTTATCCCGAAACCATGACCTTTGTATGCCAATAATGTCTCTAATAAAGGGGGAGGAATAGCGGACAATATGATCAATATACATGAATAACTCTTTCAACTGTTATTCTATACTTATCATTACATCTTAATCATTGTAATACTGTAAATTTCAAGTTAATTTACCTCCCGATAGAGTTCTTGTCATACTGTTATGCAAGAATTCCAATCCCAATTTTTCCAAAACAAAACAAACGTCATTTTTGATGATATCCTGCGAATCATTTAGACGTCTCGCTCGTGCAGAATAATAGACAGTTTCAAAGACGGTTAGATCATCATGCATAATATCGGCTTGTGGTACATAACCAATATAATCCGTAAGAATATTATTTAATGGTTCGTGTTCAGCAAACTTAATGTAGCCATTTGCATGCAATCTTCGACGACCGTGAATTGTTTCCAGTAAACTACTTTTACCACAGCCAGAGCCACCCATTAATGCTGTTAATCGACCAGCAGTAATGCGACCTGTAAAACCTTCATTTCGTTCTAGATCAAAACGTGTCACATTTCGTAGTTTAGCTCTGTAAAGATGAATATTTAATTGGAAAGTCGGATTCGATTTCGATTTTGATTTCGTCGGTTTCTTGAAATAATTGCTCACGTTTGATGCATCCTCTAAAGTATGTTGTCCTAAAAGCTTTTTCTTCAAAACGAGCCATTGAAAAATTTCCACAACTGCAACATAAACAACAATAATGACGACAAAAGAAACAGTAACACTAGTCAAAAGACGCTGTCGTCGTGCTCTTCCACTTAAACAGACAAACTGTGATGGACACGGCAATGGTTGTTGCACACCAGTTGGACAGTAACTTGTACCATCTGGACATGGCTCACTCTCATAGGACATTTTACAAAATGATCCAGCTGGACAAAATCCTTCGAATGTCGAGCCACCGCATCCGTAGATTCCATAAGTTTTTGGTGGGTAATATGGACATGACACTGAACTTTGACAAGTTCCATTGATAGATTTCAATGCTGTAGGACAATATGAACCAGGTCGACACGGTATCATGCAGAGTTGTCCTTCCGGACAAAAAAACCCAGCACAACAGGCCAAATGAACCTTACGTATTTGATCTGAGAAGAATCCTGCTTGGCATGCTTCACTATTTTGTCCACATTCTTGAAAATTATAGAGTTCGATGGCAGCTTGTGCATCATTCTCGTAAAATTTAGCTATGATGTCATTGGAGCAAGTGTGCATATCTATAAAACTTGGATTCCAACAGGAAGGACCGGCTGAACAGTCAGGTTTAAAACTCCATTGCTCTTGAGTATTATTCGGTTGACATTGTAAGCATGATAAGCTATAATTTGAATATGTTTCGTTCACTCTGTAACAGTGATCTCCTATATAACAAAAGTCATTTTTTGTTTTGCACTGGTCATTAACAAACTCTTGACAACTCGCATTACACGCATTATTATACGGTTGTAATTCTTTACGTCTAGATGTGTGTTCAATTGCATAATTATTCGAAAATGAAGGCCATGCACTTGATTCGACGAGTGGGATTATTGAAAGAAATATCAGTATCCATAATATACTTCTCGATCTTCTTACAATCATTGTGCTTACTTGAATAAATAATAACAATGTTTGCTACTTATATATATATATATATTTGAGAATAGAAAACGAGGCGTATGATAAGATAAGAATGAAAATGATTCAAACTACGAAATATTATCATTGATGTTTATAAACATTGACTACTTATTTATTAATTCACATTACATATTATCTGCAATAGATCTTCTTAATTTGCGTAGGATGACACGAATTTGTCAAAAACTCTTTGTTCAACACCTGTTGTTTATCTCTCAAATAATGATACTTGTTTATTTACGTGAAATAACAATTCTTTCATCTAAAGCCTATCAGGTTGTACTCGTATTCTATTGAGTCTGATTATAGATCTGAAAAACTTTCGACGTGACAAACTTTACTCTTACTATAAAGAGATTTTGTTTCTGAGATGTTTTGTCTATAAAAAGATCAGCTCTTTAAATTAATAATGTCAAAATCATATCAGCACACTTTTGATAGTCACAAGCCGAGATTTTTCTTTTTTGTTTTTGCCGAAAATGAGTAGCTTGATATCTAAACACTTGCAATTGTGTATTTTATTAATCGAACAGGAATATCATCATTTAAACTGACTAGTTTGGAAAACTTGCTCTGTCTACATCAATAGAGATGTCCTTGATAAAATTTGTTTTGTTTTGTTCTTATTATAGTTTTAGATGATAACTGAAAATTATCTATGAAATGCTAAACACATATTCTTTTTCATTTGATAACCGGTAAAATTATTTTTATCATATAAACAATAATAATTAACAATAGTTTATGTAAGAATACTATTAATGTATTAACCTGTTTAGTCTTCATTGGCATTTATTATGATGTCGATAATTATCAATTTAATTGAATAACTTCGATTTGATGATCCTAAACAATTTTTACTAATTCCGAATTACATATATTATGCATTTTTTTTTGAATGCATCTGACTTATTTTGCTAAATAAGAATGCTTTTTCTTGATTATTATAAGAGATTTTTTCTTAGTAAAATCAGTATTGATAGTTTAATTGACTGTAAAACATGTGTAAGACGATTATTGGATTAATATATTTTTTTTTGATTCTAATAAAGTCGAATATCAATCGATTGAATTTAGAATAAATAAGAACATCTTAGAATTATTCTAGTAAATAATACACTATTATAGAAAACATAGATTTATTTGATGATAATAGTTAATATTTATCTATTAATGGTATCTATTTTATTTTTTAGAGAAAAGAGTTGACGAGTCAATAAAAAGGAATACAATCTAAAGGATATTATATTTGTTTCTTGGCTAGAAAATCTCATTTAAATATATAAATTGTAATGGAATCTACTAAAACATTTAAATGATAACTAGTATAGAATTGTTGAATAAAATAGTTAAATTAAATTAATTTGTTTACAATGTATTGGCACTACCAAGATCATTGAATGCTTCTTGAACTCGTTTTTTCATTGATAATTCAGCTTCACGTAACCATACACGAGGATCATAATATTTTTTATTTGGTTTTTCTTCAGCATCAAGTACACCTTGAAGTCGACCTTCATTTTTTTTATAATATTTTAAAACACCTTCCCAATAAGCATATTGTGTATCTGTATCAATATTCATTTTAACAACACCATTTTGAACAGCTGTTTTTATTTCATCTTTTGTTGAACCTGAACCACCATGAAAAACAAGAAATACAGGATGATTATCATTTGTATTTAATTTATTTTTAACATAACCTTGATGTTTAGCAAGTAATTCTGGATGAAGTCTAACATTTCCTGGTTTATAAACACCATGAACATTACCAAAAGCAGCAGCTATTGAAAAATGAGGAGCTATTGATGAAAGTTCTCTATATATATCCCATATATCTTCTGGTTGAGTATAAAGTGCTGCATTATCAACACCTGTATTATCAAC